GTTGGCTTGCTCGCAGCTCCGTTTAGCGTTTTATCCTTGCGAGTCCTGCGAGAGTCATTTCCGCAGCGGTCGTGGTTCTCCGTTCAGAGGCTTGCCTGAGGTATCCGGGCGTGTTAGTCTTCAATCGGTGACATGTCACTGGGCGGATCTTTTTTTCACCTTTATTGTTTTTTCGCTTTTTCTGAAGGTTGGTCGATTCATTTTGCTCACAATTTAGGTTCTTCTCTTCTGTTCACTAATAATTGAATAACGGATTGGTAATGACGAGACGATGGTGCCTCTACATACGTTTACAGGCAGAGGAAACCTAAAGGCCTCCAAAGAAACAATTTTGATCATTAGTCATTAGTTTGATTAGTAATATTGTTTTGAATTTAGGGTTGAGGTTAGGGTTAGGGTTAGGGTAATATACCAGTTTTTAATGATGTCCGGTTAATTACCATTAAGGTTTGAATATAGATGTCCTATTGTAAATACAACATTTAGGGTTATATAGATATATCCTTTGCTGGCCACCAAACTATGTAACAGAGATAAGAGCAAGACAGAGACTTGTGGTGGAGCGGCAGATCAGTCTGGAAGAAAATTCAAGGTTACAACAGCAAACGTATCAAATAGACATATTTTGCCACAAATATTTATCACTGGAATTTAATCGAGATCACACAATAAAAAATAATCTATTTTTTTAACTCGTTTTTTATCTTGAAGAAATGTATTATTGTGTCGTTCCATCGAACCCGTTCGACTAATCAAGTGGAAAAATTGAAATTATTTGGTATCGACGTGATATGTTGCCATGGCGAGGAAGCAAAATCATCGAATAAATAATTGAGTTCCCGTTTTAGATTTATTTTACGAGAACGGTTTCGAATACATCACAAAGTTGTATTTCGCTAAAATAAAATGGACTAACTTTGACGAAGGAATAGGGAAAATGATTTCCTATATACTGGTTAAAATGCCTTTTCAAAGGAAAAGGGTGACGTTCAGCCCACTTGACCCGCACACAACTGCAAGAAATTAAAAAAAAACATTCTAACAAATCTACAGGCTGCAAAAATATATATATGTTTTTATTGTTCCAGAATTTCTCAGACGAGCAAAAATAATTAAAAAAATTAGGTGCGTATGGGGCCTAACATTGCTGCAGGGTTATAAATAGAGGGCATTAAAACCAATAATGGGTAGTGAATATGTGTTACAATGAGGTTTAAGGGGTGATGCCTTACACCCCTCCCCCCCCCCCCCATGCACACAACACACACACAGACACACACACTCAAAAACAGTTGGGTAAAAAAAATCATGTAATTTGGGGTTAAAATCGCACATTTTCCCGTTGGTTAATAGGTACAGTTTCATAAAACTATGGTACGTTTTACCCAATATATGGTAAATTTTCCCTGCGCACATTCTCATCCCCTTTTTTTTAATTCAACATGTGAACAATTTGATAAATATACTTAAAAGCCCAAGTGATTGTGATGTAAAGTATGACAGTGTACTTTTTTAATGAACCATTGGGTTATAATGCGAGGTGCAGATGCATATGACAAGCAGAGAGAATAATATATTAGAAGCTAATGACAGTAAAAAGAGACAAAAAAACGAAAAGAGTGCGTTACTGCCACATAAACTGCGGCTGGAATTATATGTGAGTTTAGGAAAAAAGAAGGAAGTGCGTAGCTTAAATGAAAGAGGAAAGATCGAGGGTGAGTGTTAGGATGATCGGAAAATAAAGAAGTCGGTAAACGAGGTGTCCTTTCCTCAGGGATCGAAATGGGTTAACTTTGGACATTCCATCGCTGCCAGCTTCCCGACAAAACCGCGGATCTTATGAGGCGACGGCCAGAAGCCCCCTGAGCGTCATCGAGGTTGAATACGTCTATTCAGATGCCATTAGAGGTGTTAACATGTCGTCCCCCACGACCCGATACATGCGAATAAAACGACTTCCTTCACCATCAAAAGACAGACATGTCATTTCTTCTAAAGATGGAGTTATAACAAGGCTCGGTAAGAGTCAGAAAGTGTAAACTATATTTCCCCGAGAGCACTTATCTAAACATTTGCATTGCAGAGTAAGGATTGTAGTGGACGGCGTTTTGTCATGTTGATTATGAAGCAAGTGTCAAAAATACATTGTCGACACTTTGTTAAAAGCATTGTCGTAAGGGGCAATCCAGTTAAATCGGAGAAAGCCTGAGCAGCTATTGCTGTTTTCGTTCTTTGTGAAGAGGAGATACATGATACTCGACCTTGAGGCACTGGAGATGTCAAATGACTCTAGGTTAAATCTAATTTACAAGAAAAGAAAAATACATACAAGTTATTTTAAGATCGATAGGGGATAGAGGTTGGACGAAAAGATTGTTATGTTTTCTTTTAGGATGTGAGGAAGTGAGAGAAGATATTATTCTTTGTTATCATCTTGTCTGTTAGTTTAGATAAAAAGCCTTGACCTTTTTACACCCAAAAGGAATGATCCTGATGCAAAGTCCTAATTGTATGTAGGTACAGAGTTCATTCATTTTTAAAGATAATTATATATATATATATATATATATATATATATATATATATATATATATATATATATATATATGTATCTATAATCGTCGTCCCGACTAGTTCCTGAAGTTGATGATTCATTCATAGAAAGAAATTCAGCTATTCAAAAATAGTTTGATTACAAACAAAAGAAAAACCAAAATGTGACAGTTTAATCTAAACGAATTGGAAACTTTTGGTTTTTAAAAAGACTTACTAACTAATTGGAAAAAAAGGGGAAGAAATAGATAGTTGGAGTAAAAGGAAGGCGGAAAGAAGGACAAGACCAAACGGTGCTGAAATGAAGACTGAAATGAAGAGGCAGTACGCGGATAGGATGAGGATAAGAGGGATAAGAAATAAGCTTTATATATTTGAAAGCATCAAGGAAATAGAAAAAGCAGTACATCATCAAAGACATGATATATCGCCTGTAGATTAAACATCGGGTATAGTAGCATGCCTTTCTGTTCGAATTTTCGACACAGCTTCCGGCACAACTTACGTCTTTCACATTTCAATAATCCATATTTAAATCCTCGTAAATTACAGAATGCATGCCTACTCAATGAGTGCGTGGGTTCGACCTCAAACATCTCGTGTGAATTCACTAGTAACATTACCAGTGACTGATACGTGACGTTTTGATAGTTTTGCTTGCAGCTTGGGTATTACTAACAAAACAAGCAGAATCTAATCCGGTGGTTGTTCAAGTTTTCACGTGGCGAGTTGACAGGCTGGAACTCGTAAGATCTCTCCTTAAAGGGATCCGGTAACTTTGTCTCAGATTCTGAAACAAAATCCTGGATTTAGCTCATGCTGCAACGATAATTACAAACGTTTAGGTCAGTCAGGAACCCCGTGACTTTAACAAGCCGATCGTTTGTCTGATTATCAAGATATTTATGATTGGAAATTGAAACCAAATTTGGCGTTTGCCAAACGGTTTTCATAACACTGCAGTCTATTGGGGAAAACGAGTACGGTAAAACCGGTCACTCAAAGATTTAAAAAAATAACTTTTTTGAGGCTGTTCTCGCTCATTTTGAAGCGAGCAGGGCCGTGCATCTCCGATTTAACATTGTTAAACGAAGCCTTTAACGCTTTGCTTATAGGATCATTGTGTGTGTTCTCGATGATATCTCTGATGTCATAACTTCATCTCAGATCAAGTCAACCCAGAAAGCTTGCATTACATCCAACCTTTTTCATCACGGTGGCTTTCACCCGGCATTGCGACACTGCCATATCACTGGTTGTCGGCGATGGAAATTTAAGAATTCCAGAAAATTGAAGAATGGAGAGAAAGGTTTGAAAGAAAGGCCATGGGCTAACTTAAGAAAGAAAAAAAGACGAAACTGGACCTGGACTTGACAGTAGGAAGACGTTT